CCGAACAGCTATGCCCTTCTTGGGGTCTTTGGAAACAAATTACATGAAATAAAATGCAAGAAAATCAGGCTAACATTTGCCTTTATTATTAACGTATATCAATATAAATGTAATCAAAAATCAATACTGAGTTTTATGCTGCAATCACCAAAGAGATAATAACTTGATCAGTCAAAATATAATTGATATAATTCAGTAAACACTTACCTTCTTTGTTGGCTTCGTCCACGGTTTGGTTTTAATGTAAGTAGCTCCGGTTGGCACTTCTAGCACTTGGGGCTCGGTTAAGTCCGGTTCTTCTTGTATATCTTCATCAACCAGGATGAAAGGTATCATCAAATGGTTTGAATGACAGATAGTGCTCTTCGGAGTTATAGTTAGATCGCTAAACATCTGTGTTCTCAAGGAAATGAATTTCCTTCTGTGTGTCAGTTAAACGCTGCACATTAATGACACCAACAACTGTAAAGTTGCTGATTTTTTTCCACTGTCCTTCATGCATGAGATTGTCGAAATAGGCATACAACCACGCCCAGTTACAAACAGCATGGATCTTGTCTCCCTAAATTAAGAATGTGTTCGAAAAAAGCTTTATTCCTTAGTAGAATGAAATCGACCAAAAACAAAATTAAACTCATCAATTATAAGAACTCTAGGCAAAATGATATTTTGTTTGAAATATATAAGATCCAAACTTACACGTTCATCACCCAATAAGAAATGGATAGACTCTTCTCCGTCAATCGCAATTGTTTTCTATTTTCTGTGAACTTTGACACGCATTTTCCAATTCGATTTCCATGGATGCAGATCTATGATTTTATCATACTCAGACATTGCTTGAATTGTGGAAAATAAAGTAGTATAATGGGTGGTTTTTTTTTTAGAACATGATAGAACTGCTATGTGTTGAGGCCGTATATATAGGAAGAGATATTTTAGGTTAATGTGATACACAACTATATATCGGTTGATATCTCTTTATTCGATATTGTAGGCTGTATCTCGAGTATCAAAATTACTTACTTTTTGACAGGTACATTTGATTGCATTTTCTCAAAAACGGGAAAGATTTGATACGACAACACACTGTCCAAGTTTCATTTCTCGGTAAGTTTCCCCATTAAAAACTTTTCAGTCCGCACAATAAAAGCTTTTTCATGATTATATTTTAAAAGTAACAATACTTTTTCATTTACTGGTTTATTTTGACAGCAAAAGAACACTTTACTATGCGGATTGTAAATACCAAGGTGAAGTTTAAAGAATAAACATATCTGGAAAAATATGTAACGACAGAGGCAATTAGGTATGTAAGGTATATTCTCTCTAATTTTTTGATCCAGTTTTATTGATAATCAAAAAGCAAATTTAGAACATTGTACAGAATTTAAATATTAAATAAATTAGATGAGAAATCTATCCTTAACTCTGTTATAAATTTTGGTAAGATGATTTTAATAAGTAACTCAAATTTGTATGATTGTTGTAGGATACAATTAAATCATTGAGATCCTATGTTTAGTGTCTGGCGACGATGGCACCCTCAGACTGCCGATTTGTAGGTAAGCGATTTTTCATAACTCTGTTATAGATTTTGCCACAAAATAGTTTGTTTCGAAATTATTAAAACCGTATATTACACAACCACAAACAAAAGTAGTAATAGGAAAAACAGGCATGAATATGAATAAAATGTAGTACTTATCCCCGAACATATTGAAATGCATAAGAAAAGGGAGACCAAAAGAGAATATCTTTTAAAATAAAGTTTCTTAATGATAGGAATTGGCAAAACACTGAAAGAAGGCTATTCAGAATCTTCATCATTGCAATTTCTGAAATAATGAAAAACAACATGTGTAAATGGTTGTAACAATCAAAAATTATAAATGTAAAAAGCTTGGACAACGTTTAAACTACTTATAATGCACGCTTAAACCTTCTAGCCTCAGAAATGTCTGGATCTTATAAAACTGTTGATACTTCTCCCGCATCAATCAGACGAACATTTTCTATATAAAAAGAAACATATAACTCGCTCAAAGTGTAATTTAAAATTTTTTAATTAATTTGAATTATATTTTTTAACATACTTCCAACATTGACCACACGAAAATCACTTAGGATTACTACCATATTGTTCGAATCGAAATTCCACCATTTTTTAGTGATTTCAAGGGCAAGTTTTTCATGAACAACGCAACTTAAGTTTGTCCCTCTGTGAAATAAAAATTGAATTATTAAGAAAGACAAAACACATATAATAGTGAGAGACAGTTTGAACATATGTGAACTATAAATCCAGATCATTCATGATTATCAATTGTATATATGAAATTAAAACGTACTGTGTGTTCTGAATAGCAAATTCGAGACGTCAAGTGTTGGCAGGACACACAGGGCCAAAGTCCAAATCTTTTACTTTGACAATATCTGTAAGCATAGATATCCTACCCAACACATCTGACAAAATAGACGAAAAATAAATATATGTTAACTAATAATTATGTTAACAAAGCTTAACTTATAAACAAACTAAAAATACTTACGAACAGGTAGGACACAGTTGAATCTTCCAGCAAGAACATCATCAAAACTTGTAAATTTCATGTAATGCTCATCATACTCTTTTCTCACATCAGTGTTGTCGAGTAGACGAATTTTCCACATGCAATCGACCAAACGATTAACTGCATCACTTTCGAAGACAGTAAAATGATGCAACTTAAACCATTTACCAACAATTAGTTTTGTTCTGTAATATGGCTGGTTCTGAAGATCATCACATATAGCATGAATTTTATCACTCTACAAAGTTTTAATAAACTATACATTAGACAAACATACAACTAAAAGAACAGTACGCTATAGAATATGATGAAGTAAAACATACCTCTTCATCGACAAAGATGAAGTTTAACACTTCACTTTCTCCTTGAGATTGGGATTCCCAAGACTTAAAAACCATGATACGAATGTACCAGTTAGATCTCCACTGGTTTAAATTCCTGATATTGTGAAAAATACCATCCATAGTTAACTGAAAAATGAGAGGATTCAAAGACAGAGAGAACAATGAGAGATTTCAGGTGATAAAAGCACAAAAGGTCTTCCCTCATATATAAAGCAAAACAACGATTAGGGTTTTTGATAATATCGAAAAGATGTATCTTAAATTCAAATTTAAAATTATCAACAACCTAAAAGACATCAATTGAAAAGACGCAATTGATGCATATACGTATAATATCTAAATATTGGATAACCATATATATATATCTATTAATGAATCTCGGTTAACAAAATTCCTTTTTTTTTACAGGTACATTTAATTGCATTGGTTAAAAATTGGGAAGATGTGATACAGGAATAACACACTGTCCAAGTTTCAGTTCTCGGTAAGTTTTCTTATTCATATATGTAACGACAAAGCTAATTAGGTATGTAATGTATATCCTAGTTATTTCATCTAGTGTTGTTGATAATCACAACACGCCAATTTAGGACAGTGTAGAGAATTAAAAACTACTATATGAATTAGATAACATAGTTATATAAAAAAGCAATTAAAAGATAGTGAATAAGCAAGACAAAAAAATACTTGAATCACTTAAGATAATGTTGAAGTGGTGTGTTTTATGACAAAGCGCACGCAGTGAAATACTCCGAGAAATAGTAACAAAATAACAAAAAAGGTTCAGAAAATTTTATAATTCAACATTAGCCACTTTTGCTTTCATTTCCAAACTTCTCAATTTTGACCTGAAGATTGCATTGCTTCTTACTTGCTGAATGTTGGTCTTCGAGAACTTCAATTATAGGCTCAACTTTTCTCTTCGAAGTAGGGGTAACTTGGTTTGGAATTTCATCATCGATAATTGGCTCTGTATTGGTAAGAGTCAACATACTCTGTTTGCAAAAAAACAATAGACTAAGGTTAATTTACTGCCCATAAAAGCCAGTAAAAATTTGTATCCTAAAATAATAATAAAAGTATACCTCATCACCAGAAACCAGTTCTGAAATATTCACTGGCTTATCTGAATCATCAACAGTTAAATCTTCAACCATACCATTGTCACTCAAAATCTTGGAAACCTTGAAAGTATTGTGACCACCACCGAGATTCTCTTTATCAACAGCAAGAATAAACTGAAAAGTTTTTCCGACTAAGTTCTTTAATGTTTCTGGGATTTCTTCAGGATCTTCAATCTAAGCAATTAGACAACAATATAAAACACACGTAAATAAACAACTAAATTATTCATCCAGTAGACATTTTAGATAATATAATTTAGATACCTCATCGAATGATCCGTTGAGCAATTCTGATGCTTGGCATTTTAACATCTCACTTGCCGATGTATCAAATAACAATATAGTAATCTCACTTGGTGTATCCATAACCTTCAGATGCAGCTTGAACCTGACACAAGAAAACGATGAAATCGTGACAATTATTATAGAGTTATGGTGTGTTCAAATCATAAGTTAGGTCACTTACTTGGGCACAACATTGGTGACAGTCTTATTGCATTCATTACAATGCCACCTAGGTATCCCTCCGAGAACTACGACACCAATAGTTCCTGCGACGATCTTTCTAGCCTTCTTATGATTTTTGATTTTGCACCCAAAATAATACCATCCCCAGTCAGTGTCAATGGCGTAAACTGTGCAAATGATCCTTACTTTGCTGACCTATAAAATTGAAAGAAACATTCAAGGAACAATATAGTGAAGTACCTTTGATATTCATTGTCAAATACATACCTCGGTTAGTTCTTTTAGTTCAGCAACAATGACTATTGGAAACTGGTTCCAGTAATCATCCGTCTTTGCCATTATTTCCTTTTTAGGTTTGGTTTCCAACAGAGTAAGAGCCAAACCATCATCTGGTAAGCTGCAATCAAAATATGAATGTCATGAAACCATAGGAAGTATTAATAGACAAATTCAATTGTACATTATCTCAAATAGTTTCAAAAATATAGGACTCACGCATCCAAAAACTGGTCAATCTGTGCTCCAGACGGGTTAATAAAGACTAAACTGGCATCAAAAGCGTTGGAAACACTTTTTATGTCTGAAGGTAATAGACAAAATAGAAGTAAGGAATCCAGATTTGAAAATATTGAAGCTTCTAACTGGATAATGTAGAAAGTGTACCTCTGAACTCCTTAATTTTTCCAAATCTAATGAGACAAATTAGTTTTTCAGTCTCATTATTGGAAGTGGCTTCGACGATTTGATCAGCAAAATTTCTCCATAAGGTACAACTTAGACGCATATCACTGAATCCATTTTTAGGTTATAACAGTAACTCAAAGTAAATCATCAATATAACTCAGATTTTGCGATGCATAACATTAACAGAACATATATTGACTTTAAAAGAAACAGATTACTAATACTTACTGCTCATCCCTCAGTTCGAAATCAATTTTCTTTACGTCCTTGTTATTGACATGCATCGTAGACAGTTGCCCACATTCACTATCTGGCCGAGAACATCTAATAAAATTGAACATATTAGGTTAGAAATATATAGTGTAAATCAGACTAATACAATTCTGTGATTAATATTTTTACCACACAAAATGCTCTGATTCTGTATTCTTTCATGAATATCACTGAACCGGACCAAGTCCAAGAAGTCAGAGTTTGACACGGTTACAGAATTAGACACAATTGTGTCTTTGACAAAACTAATCCGGTAACAATGTTTGGTAGTCCTGTATTGTCCAATTGAATTGCTAACGTTGAACTCTTCAATGAATTTCCAGCTTCCTACAGATAGATGGTTCTCGTATCTCTTCAAGTGTTGTTTCTTAATAGAACAATGAATTCTCGTACCCTGTGAAAAATTATAAAATGTTTTAGCTAACATCATAAGGACGTTAAGTTTCTTATAGTAAGATAAATTACCTCTTTGTCGACTAAAACCATTTCAATAGATTCTCCTGAGGCGAAAGCAAACTGCTTCCAAATGTGCAGGATTTTGACTTGAATTCTCCAACTGGACTTGAAGGGCTTAATATTTTGAACAGAAGTTATTGGAACTTTAGAAGCCATTTTCAAAGATTTGCGTAAAATGGTATGGCGATTTCTCTAAATGTTTCTTCTATTTATATGTAATCAATTAGGTTTTGGTAGTATCTTTTTGAAAGAATATAGTCGCCAATATTTAGAGATCTTCATTATTATAGCAAGATCTTTCAAATCTGTCATGACTAGAGGTAAACAGATTAGTTAAAAATATATATTGTTACATATATGAGATTGATTAGATTGCCATAGGAAGTAATATGTAGATTGATTAGAATATTCTGATAATTTATGATATAGTTCGGTTTGTTTTGTTAAGAATATTTAGTTAGGATCTGAGTTAAATGTTAGATTGTAAACGGTAATTTAGGATACCGTTTAGATGAGTGAACAAAAATAAATATATCAGTTGCCATATATTTAGGTATTGATCCTAACTTGTTTTGAATCCAAATCTATTAATCTAACCGGTTGTTTAACAGTTATTGCAGACCACAAAAGCTGGTTTAAATCAAGTTGAAGAGGATCCGCGTCTTTGTTAACGGGTCTACGGGTCGAATATTTGTGTTTGGACATGATCGAGTCATGTTAACTGAGTTAACTCAGTTAACTCGCCAGTTTTTGCCCTTAAATAAATATGTAGCCAAACACAATTAACTCAGTAAGGTAATGGCATTTTCCATAAATACATTGTTTTTTTCGAGTATCTCAAAAATCGACTTCTCAAATAATATTATAGAGATACTAGGGAAAGATCCGCATTGTGAAAATTTGCGATATTCTAACGATTTTAATTTTATAAAATATTTTATTATATTTATTAGTAAAAATTTTATCGATAAATATTAGTTTTTAGGTTATGAATACCATGTAATTTGTTAAAATTCTATATTAAAAGATTGGTGAAATATTAATATTTATATAGAATGAGGTTTGACCCAGTAAGAAAAGTGTAGCTACCACCATTCTTTAAAAGCACGCAAGGATAATCAGAAAGTAAACTCGGAGAATAAAATCAAGATTGTGATAGTAGTGGCGGTTTGAAGTTCAATGGGGTATGAAAGGAAAGAGTGAGCCATTAATCTAAAACAATTTCATAAAAGCAAATAATGAATGATTTTCTATTCGATTGGCCACAAAGAAAAAAAAAATAAAGCTATTTTTTACGCATAAGTAATACAGCAATTAGCTCTAAAAAGTTAAAAATGTTCAAAATAATGTGAAGTAGTAGACATAATGGATGAGAACTGGGTGGAGAAGGGAGAAAAAACCACAATGTTATTTATGTACTTGTTCGATTAAAAAATCCAGGCGAGATAGGAAAATAATAGAAGAGAAAAGTGGCAAATGTCAATTTATAAAGTGATATGTGGCGGCATATTAGAGATGGTTGTCAAAAAAACCTTACTATAGAATGCATTATTTTATGCTCGATTGGCTACAAAGAAAACTTAATGAAATAAAACTATTTTGTGCAGAAATATGCCACTACCAGCTCTTAAAAGTTAAATAAACATCTCAAATAATATAAAGGAGGAGACATGATGAAAGAGAATCAGATGAAGGCAGAAAAAAATCAAAGTATTATTTTTGTGTTTGTTTGATTAAAGAAATTCAGCAAAGATAAAAAACAAAAAAAAAGAGAAAACAATTTTGACACATGATGGTATTATCATAAAAGATTTGTATTTTTTTAGGTGACTTGATTTTTCTTTCTTTTTGTTGGATGAAAGAGAATCACGTGGAGAAGAAAAAACTGAAGTTTTATTTTTGTGTTTGTTTTATAAAAAAATCCAGTAGAAATATGAAAAAGAAAAAAACAAAAAAGAGAAAAATGCCACATGTCAATTTATAAGAATTAGTTCTTAAAAAAACCTTACTTTAATAAAATAGAGAATGAGGTTTAACCCTGTTAGAAAAATGTAGCTGCCACCATTCTTTGAACACACAAGGATGATGGGAGAGAAAATCCGGAGAGTAGAATCGAGATTGTGATAGTAATGGCGGTTTGAGGTTCGATGGGGCATGGACAGAAAGAGTGAACCATTAATCTAAAATGATTTTATGAAAGCAAATAATGAATGATTTTCTATTCGATTGGCCACAAAGAAAACGTAAAGAAATAAATCTATTTTTCGCGCATAAGTAATGCAACAATCAGCTCTTAAAAGTTTAAAATGTTTAAAAAATAATGTGAAGTATAAGACATAATGAATGAGAATCGAGTGGAAAAGGGAGATAAGGGAAAAAATAAAATTTTTTACGCATGACCTTACTCTATTATATAAGATTTGTACTTTGTTGGTAGATTTGATTTTGGTTTCTTTGTTGGATGAAAAAGAATCATGTAGAGAAGAGAGAAAAAAAAACGAAACTTTATTTTAGTATTTATTCGATAGAAGAGAATCCAATAGAAATATTAAAATAAAAAAAAGAGAGAAATAGAAAAGTGACAAATGTCAATTTATAAGGTGATATGTGGCAGCATATCAGAGATGATTGTAAAAAAATCTTACCATATAAAGCATTGTTTTCTGCTCGATTCGCCACAAAGAAAACTTCAAAAAATGAAACTATTTTTCGTGCAGAAATATGCTACAATCAGTTCTTAAAAGTAAAATAAACTTCTAAAATAATATGAAGTGCGAGACATAATGAAAGATAATCGGATGGAGAAGGTAAAAAAAAGTCGAAGTATTGTTTTGTGTTTGTTTGATTAAAGAAATTGAGCAGAGATAGAAAACCAATAAAAAACAAAATTTGACACATGACCTTACTCTATTATGTCTCTTATATATTGATTGAGAAGCAATTTTAAAGACTAACCTTATTTTTGTAAGTAATTATAATTGTGCTGATGTGTCATCACCATAGAGCTTCTCAGATTTTTTTTTGAAAAAAAGCTTTTGTTACTAAAATAATTACATCACCAGGTCATAACCTGCGCCTTGTGCAAGGCGGGAATTCTATAAACAATTTTACAAAATATAATTTTAAGTTTGTTTAAGGTGAAAATAAGTTAATTAATTTTATGTGTAAATTAATAATATGTATGAGTAACAATAAAATTATTTTACAGGATTTTATAATGGATTTTAATATATTTCTTATATAAATATAAAGTGCATAGTTAGACTAAACTACGAAGATTACGCTTGTAAATATATTAATATTTTAAACATGCAAATTATTATAAATTTTATTTTAAAATATTAATATATACAGAAGTTATGTAGAAATGGATTATATATTTTAAGTTTAATATTGTTGATGAATGATTTAAAATTATATAAAACTGAATCAATACTTATAAATTCTTAATTTTTTAATCAAATAAAAAAATATTTTAACTTTTACAAAGTTATTGTTTTAGCAAAATGAAATTTATAATACTTAGCTTTTTCAAACTAAATATTTTTAATATTTTGACTGTTTGATATATTATTTTTTGATTTTTTTATTAAGTTTAAATATTAATATTATTTAGCTCCACATTATATTATTTAAATTATCATTATCTCATTTGGTTTATTTATATAGTTTTATTGAAAACATTATATTAAACTAATGATTACTTATAAATATGGATATCGATTAAATAAAGTTCTCTTATATATATATATATATATAGATATATTTTGTCATTTATATTCTTTTTATAATAGTTTCTGAATCATCTACACTTAATTATTTCTAATATGTGACTTTTTAAACATATTCTTATTTATTCTTTATTTGAGTAATTTATATTCATCTTTAAAAATTCGAATTATAACTCATGCACCAAATACTCTATATATGTTTTTATTATATAGATGATGTGATGATTTGTTTTTTTGAAAAATAAATTAAAAATATAGCGTTTAAAGAAAATATTGATATGATATTTTTCTAATAAGAAATAGAAAAAAAAAGAATATCCGTATTACTTAAATTTTCAATTATGTATTAATACTTTATATAAACTATTGACCAACCAAATTAATGTGAATGACATATTATGTATTTATTTTAGTAACATAAGCTTTTTTTTTAAAGTGTGATGAGAATGCATATGTTGATGACACATTAGCATAATGTTCCCATTGTATAAAGAAAATATAAAATTAATATTATACTTTAAAAATGCTTCACAATTAATATATTTAAATTATATATAAGATCTATTTAAAGAAATTTTATTAATATTTATTATAAATATTTTATATATTAAATGACTTATATTATTTTTCTCTTTTGTCTTTCATATAGTATGAACTTATAATTGGAATATAACATAAAATGGTTTTAATTAGTACATTTAACCATTTTTATGTTATAAATTGGAAGAAATTAATTATAATTTATTTGGAAAAACAGCATTTCAAATATAATCAAGTATGCTTAATTAGTAATCATCATTAATAGTTGGATATAATTTTTTTGTTTAATTGATTTGAATACAAAAAAATACTTCTTGGTTTACTATGTGTCGGATCGAAATCATATTAGGAATTATGTTGATAAACGATTTAATAATAATTTTATTATGTTGAAAAAATGATTTATCGCTCACTCTATAATATGAATTATGTTAATGACTTTGAGGAGAAATAATAAGAATTATGTTAGTCTAGTTTGTATTAATTATATATTTTTTATAATATTTTAAAATAACATTTGTAATTATTTGTGTTTTTAAAATATTGATGTTTCTACAACTGTAGTTTTAAAATTTTTACGACCGTAGTTTTTACAGGTTAGACTACACATGTAATTACATTCATATAAAAAATAGTATTAAAATTAATTATAAAAATTTATAAACAA